TTTTTTTTTTTTTTTTTTGAGTTGGAGTCTCTCTCTGTCACCCAGACTGGAGTGCAGTGGAACGCTCCCAGCCACCGCAGCCTCGACCTGCTGGGCTCCGGCGATCCTTCCACCTCAGCCTTCTAAGTAGCCAGAACTACAGGCACGCACTACCATGCCCTGCTAGTTTTTGATTTATTGTAGAGATGAGGTCTCGCTAAGTTGCCCAGGTGGGTCTCGAACCCATGAGCTCAGACAATCCTCTCGCCTTGGTCTCCCGCATTAGGTTTTTAAAAAATTCCTGACCACACATGGTGGCTTACACCTGTAATCCCAGCGCTTGAGGGAGAATCACTTGAGCCCAAGAGTTTAAGACCAGCCTAAGTGATATGGCAAGACCTTGTCTCTACAAAAAAAAATCAAAAAATTAATCAAGTGTGGTGGTGCCCGCCTGTAGTCCCAGCTACTCGAGAGGCTGAGGTGGAAGGATCCCCTAAGCCCAAGAGATCGAGGCTGTGGTGAGCTGTGATCGTGCCACTGCACTCTAGCCTGGGCGACAAAGTAAGACCCTGATGCTAAACAAATAAATAACCTCCCCCAAGGACTTTAATGAACAGGCAAGAGTGAGAATTCCCTTCTCTAAGCTTCCAGAAGACAGAGGTGGTCTCCTTGGAGCCTAGAACACATGCCTGTCAGCCGGGTGCAGTGGCTCACACCTGTTATCCCAGCACTTTGGGAGACAGAAGCAAGAGGATTGCCTGAGCCCAGGGGTTGGAGACCAGCCTGGGCAATGTGGCAAGACCTCGTCTCTACAATAAATCAAAAATTTAGCCAGGCATGGTGGCGCACACCTGTGGTTCCAGCTCATTGGAAGGCTGAGGCGGAAGGATCACCGGAGCCCAGCAGGTCGAGGCTGCAGTGGCCATGAGCATGTCACTGCACACTCCAGCCTGGGCAACAGAGAGACACTCTGACTCAAAAAAAAAAAAACAGTGCCATTAGCCAGGCGTGGTAGTGCGCGCCTGTAGTTCCAGCTCCTCGGAAGTCTGAGGCAGGAGGATCGCCGGAACCCGGCAGGTCGAGGCTGCGGTGGCCGGGGACGACCCCTGCACTCCGGTCTGGGCGACGGAGTGAGACTCCGACTCAAACCCAAAAAAAGTGCCCATCAGCTCCACCTGTGTGTTCCCCCCTCCCGCCCTTGGGAGGCGCTCTGTCAGGACTAGGCGCCCAGGTCCCTCATGCCCCCTCCCTGTCCTCAGGAGTGCCACCGGGGAGGCGTGGCACAACATCATGCTGTCCTGCCTCAGCGGGAAACCATGTGACAAGAACTCGGGCATCCTGACTCGGGAGTGCGGCAATGAATTTGCCTATTTTTACTTCGTCTCCTTCATCTTCCTCTGCTCGTTCCTGGTGAGTCTGTGGACTCGGTGGCCGGGGATTGGGGGGGTCTCCAGACCTGGCTTCCTCTGGGCGAACGGGTTTCTCCAGAGTGTGACTGTGTGCAAGGCTTGTCTCCTCCCTCCAGCTTTGTCTCATTGTATCTCCTTGTCTCCATCCATGTCGGTCTCTCCCCCATCTCCACCCGATCCGGCTGTCTCTGGGCCTCTTTATGTGAGTGTCTCTCCCCTCTGCCCCCTCTCTGCACCTGGGGCTGGGCGAACCCGAGCCTCTCCGCCGCAGCACGGTTGATGTGTGAGGAGGGATGCTTCTCTGGGCGGGGACCATCCTGTGCACTGCCGGGGATAGCACAGCTCTCTGGCTCCCACCCACTAGATGCCGACATACACCACCCCTTCTCTCAGCTATGACAACCAGAAATGTCCCCAGACACCGCCAAACATCCCCTAGGGAAGGCCAGGGTCTCCCCCATAGGAGGCCCAGGGAAATATCTCGCTTTGGCCTTGTTGGGGACAGATCTTTGTCTCTGTGTCTCTCTGTCTCTGTCTCTCCCTCATCTCGACTGGATCTGGCCATCTCTGGGCCTCCTCACAGGAGTGTCTCTCCTCTCTGCCCCGGCCCTCTCTGTCTCCCTCTCTCCCTCTGGGCCTCTGTCTGTGTGCCTGGGTGTGTCTGTCTGTCTCCTGCTCTTCTCTCTCCATCACTCTTCCCTCCAACTCCCTCTCGGCCCTGGGGGGTCCCCACAGATGCTGAACCTCTTTGTCGCTGTCATCATGGACAACTTTGAGTACCTCACCAGAGACTCCTCCATCCTGGGCCCCCACCACCTGGACGAGTACGTGCGTGTCTGGGCCGAGTATGACCCCGCAGCTTGGTAAGGAGTCGCCCGAGACCTCCAACACCACACCCGCCTCCCTGGAGCCACAAAGCAGGCTAGGACAGGCCCCATACCCTGGGGCACTGAGACCCTGGAGTCCCAGCAGGGGTCTCACAGGGATCCGTCCAGAGGAAAGAGACGAGACGAGAGTCCTCACTCTTGTACACTCCAGATTAAAACACCTGGAGTGGCCCAGCACAGTAGCTTATGCCTGTAACCCCAGCATTTTGGGAGGCTGAGGGGGAGGATTGCTTGAGGCCAGGAGTTTGAGACCAGCTTGGGCAACATAGTGAAACTTCATCTCTTAAATAAATAAACCCTTCCCAAACCCCAGACTTTTTGGGAAATGAGAACGTCAACCACGAGTTCTGCAGAGCCCCCCATTACAAGGCTCTCCTCTCTCTCTCACTGGGCCACCTCCAGGTGGTGAGGACAGGTTAACCTCACCCCGGGGAGGAAGCAGAAGCCTCAGCTCTTTTGGGAGCGTGGGGAGGGGGCTGACCTGCCCTTGGCAGACAGGATTGACTGCAAGATTGGAATGACAGAACCCAGCTCCCACCGAGACCTGCCTCCCAAACCTTGGAGTGGGTAGTCACACCGCAGAGCCTCAGGGGTCTTGCATCTTCCTGGCCAGAGAGGGCATGAGCTCTCCCATCTGGGCAGATGTGGTGCCCCTCCTTGACAGGGATCAGAGGGCTGGCTCCACCCGTGCGTGTATATTGCACACCCACTTAGCACAAAGCCCTTGAAAAGGACACTCAGCGGCCCCAATCAGATGCCCAGAGCCCACCAACTGCTCCTTGTGAGTTCTAGCCCAAGCTGTGCTCGGGACCTGAAGAGGCACCGCTGGGGGCCCTCGGAAGCCAAAGTCCCATCTTCTGCTGGCCTCAGCACTGGAGGAGGGCCTCACCAGAATTGCAGGGAGAAGGTGGTCTCTGGTATTCCTGTATCCCCTGACTAGCACTCCATGAGACCCAAAGAGCCACAGGTCTGGGGTGTGGTTTTCGACTGGCTCCTAACTCTTCCTCTTTTGATTTTAGGTCACGGCAGTCGGATGCTACCCCTCTGCCCTCGATCCCACGAGCCCCCTGCCCCAGGGTAGCCCCTGTAGATTGTGGTGGAGGCAGATGCAGAGAGAACCCTGGGGAGGTCAGCCCAGTCCAGAGCTCCCGGCACACCCTGATTGGAGCCCTCTGCCCCTGGGTCTGCAGGTGTCTGGGAACACACCAGGGACCCTCACTTGCCCTGGGTCTCTCCCCTCCCCTCAAGCCAGGGGACCCCAGCCTCCAGCATCACAACTGCACCGTGTGCCTAGGAGCCAGCATGAAGCACCCTGAGCTCATGTCTCCACTAACCCCGTTTCTTTCCTTTCAGCGGTCGGATTCATTATAAGGATATGTACAGTTTATTGCGAGTAATATCTCCCCCCCTCGGCTTAGGCAAGAAATGTCCTCATAGGGTTGCTTGCAAGGTTTGATTTCCACTAAAACCTGCTAGCATCCATGGAATGAGTGTGGCTTGGGGTTCTCCAATATATATATTTCATATATATATATATATCTATAAAACAGAGCCATCTCTCCCTCTTGCATTAAACTAGAAACCTCTCCTAGCCAACAGAATGCAGTCATGTAGACTCGATTAAGCATGGAACATATCTTTACCTTCCCTCCAGCGTTCAGCCATCTCTGCTTGCTCTTAGCTGAAGCTGCTCATCCCGGGGTCTCAACGGCACCCCAAATCAGACACATCCCTGTGGGGATTGTAACTTTGCATTGTTCTCCCCCCCCACCATTCACCTCCACTCTCTGTCCCTCCACCTCGGCCCTCCTCCCCCTGCCCCAGCCTCTCCCCCCACCTAGGCCCCCTCAGAGACCAGCCTCAGCCAAACCAGAGAACTTGACCCAGCCTTAAAAATGACCAACCACGTGGCTGGGCACGGTGGCTCGTGCCTGTAATCCCAGCATTTTGGGAGGCCGAGGTGGGAGGATTGCTTGATACCAGGAGTTCGAGACCAGCTTGGACAACATAGCGAGACACCGTCTCTAATATGAAATGAAATAAATTTTTCTAAATGACCATGATCATGGCCGGGTGCGGTGGCTCACATCTGTAATCCCAGCACTTTGGGAGGCCGAGGCGGGAGGATTGCCTGAGGCCAAGAGTTCGAGACCAGCCTGGACAAGATAGCAAGACCCCATCTCTACAAGAAAAAGATAATAAATTGTTTTAAATGACCATGAACGAAAGCACAGCTCCCACCAGGTCCTCCGAAGCCAGGATCCCCTGCCCTCTGCCTTCTACCAGAACCATAGCTCAAGAGTCCAAGCTGAATCTGACTTTTCTCTTTTCTCTCTCTCTCCCTGCTCCTGAGCAGTGAAATAATCTTTTTTTATTGCCTTTTCTTCCGTTTTTGTTTTTCTCCTCATTTCCGTTTATTTGAAACACCTCTTTTCTTGTCCTCTGCATCTTTCTCTCCCTATTTTTCGGCTCGTGTGTTTTTTTTTTCTTCCTCTTTCTT